AACAACAACAACCACCTTCAGTCATGCTTTTTGAAATTCAAATTTAGTCAGCTTGGCTTCAAACAGGAAAGAAAACATTAGCAACTTTAGAGAAAGAAAAGCCAGACAAAATTAATATTTTTTGACAGTAATATTTGGTATTATAATTAAGAAAGCTTTAAAATCAGAATAAGATATCTGTTATTTATTTTTCTCTTTGGCAACAGCTAGAACACATAAGCTCAGAAAAGAACGTGAATTGACCCTCTCTGTCTGGCCATGGACATCATGCTAGGCTTGATTTCCATGGCTTCACTCCCTCCCCACCAGACCGCTCACCTTGCAGATAAATATAATGGTGGCCGACTCTACATAGTCTTTTGAGATCAGCTGGCCAAAGGAGAACTTCTCCACCCTTCCCATGGTTACCAGCTGCCAGAGCTTCTCTTCGGACCAGGACTGAAATAGATCCATCTTCCTGCAGGAGAATAGCCTGTTAGAATTTACCACCCTACATCAGTTGACCTTATTTGCCTCTTTTACTCCTGAAAATGCTTGAGCTGAAAAGTTTCACATACTCTCTGCCACTATCTACCCCATCGTCAACCTCCTATCATGTTAATGCCTTTGCTCCCTCTGTCTACCTTTTTTTTAAGTGTCCTCAACTCCAGTCCATTTTCCTCTTTGTGGTTGTTTGTTGTTGTTGGGTGTCATCAAGTCAGTACCGACTCATAGCGACCTTATGCAAAACAAAATGAAATACTGCCCAGTCCTGCACCTACCTCACCATCATTGCTACATTTGACCCCATTGCTAGTGCTACTGGGCCAATACATCTCATTGGGGGTCCTCCTCTTCTTATCTGTCCCTCTGTTTTATCAAATATGATATCCTTCTCCAGTGACTGGTCCCTCCTGACAAAATGCCCACAGTATGAAAGACAAATTCTGGCCATTCTGGCTTCCAGGGAGCATTCTGACTGTACATCTTCCAACACAAATTAGTTTGTTCTTTTGGCAGTCCACAGTACTTTTAATATTCTCCTCCAACACCATAGCTCCAAAGCATCATTTTTTCTTCGGACTTCCTTATTCACTGTCCAAATTTCACAAGCATATGAGGTTATTGAAAATACCTTGCATCAGGCTTGCAGCAGGTGCACCTTAGTCCTCAAACTGACATCTTTGCTATTCAACACATTAAAGAGGTCTTGAGCAGCAGATTTGCCTAATGCAATATGCCATTTTATTTCTTGACTGATGCTTCCATGACTACTGATGGTTGATCTGAGCAAAAGGAAGTCTTTGACAACTTCAATCTTGTCTCCATTTAACTTGATGTTATTTGTTGGTCCAGTGGTGAGGATTTTTGTTTTCTTTACACTGATGTACAACCCTTACCAAAGGCTGTGGTCTTTGATTTTCATCAGTATTTTAAAAACTCCTTGCTTTCAGCAAGCAAAGTTGTATCATCTGCATATCACAGGTTGTTAATGAGTCTTCCTCCAATCCTGATGCCACACTTTTCTTCAAATAGTCCAGCTTCACAGATTATTTTCTCAACATACAGATAAATATGGTGTAAGAATACAACCCTGGCACACACATTTACTAATTTGAACAACTGATTCTTGGTCTATGTACAGGTTCCTCATGAGCACAATTAAGTGTTCCAGAATACTCATTCTACCCAATGCTGTTCATAGCTTGTCATGACCCAAACAATCGAAATAAAGCACAGGTAAATATCTTTCTGGTATTCTCTGCTTTCAACCAAGAACCATCTGATATCAACAATGACGTCTATTGTTCCACATTCTCTTCTGAATCTGGGTTGAACCTCTGGAAGTTCCCTGTCAGTGTATGGTTGCAATTGTTTTGTTTGTTTGTTTGTTTGTTTTTGCAATTGTTTTTAATGATCTTTAGCAACATTTTGCTTGCATGGGATATTAATGATATTGTCCACAATTTCCATATTCCATTGGGTCACCTCTCTTTGGAATGGACACAAATACAAATCTCTTCCAGTCACTTGGCCAGGTAGTTGTCTTCCAAATTTCTTGGCAAGATGAGTGAGTGCTTCCAATACTGCATTATTTTGTTGAAAGATTTCAGTTTGTATTCTGTCAATTTCCAGAGCCTTGTTCTTGGCAAAGCCTTCAATGCACCTTGGTCTTCTTCCTTCAGTATCATTGACTACCTCTTCAAATGGTGGAACATTGACCATTTCTTTTTGGTACAGTGACTCAGCATATTCCTCCCATCTTCTTTTTGATAACTTCTGCATCATTCAATCCTTTGCCCATAGACTCTTTCAGTGTTGCAGGTCGAGGCTTGAATTTTTTCTTCAGTTCCTTCAGCCTGAGAAATGCTGAGTGTTTTCTTCCTTTTTGGTTTTCTAATTCCAGGTTTTTGTACTCTTCCTTATAATATTTGGCTTTGTCTTCTCAAGCTCCCCTTGGAAATTTTCTATTCAGTTATTTTACCTCCTCATTTCTTTCATTTGCTTTAGCATCTCTACACTGGAGAGCAAGTTTCAGAGTCACTTCTGACATCCATTTTGGTCTTTCCCTTCTTTCTTGTCTTCTGAATGACCTTTTTGTTTTCTTCCTGTATGATGTTATTGATGTCATCCTACAACTCTTCTGGTCTTCAATCTTTAATGTCTAATGCATCAAATCTGTTCTTCAGATGATCTCTAAATTCAGGTGGGATACATTCAAGGTCATATTTTGGCTCTTGTGGATTTGTTTTAATTTCTACTGCTTCAGCCTGAGCTTGCATATGAGCACTTGATGATCTCTTCCACAGACTTGACCCTGATCTTGTTTTGACTGATGATATGGAGCTTTTCCACTGTCTCTTCCCATAGATGTAGTCAATTTGATTTCTGTGTATTCCCTCTGCTGAAGTCTGTGCATATAGTTATATTTTATGTTGTTTTTAAAAGGTATTTGCAATGAAGAAGCCATTGGTCTTGCAAAATTCTATCATGTGATGCCATAGCACCGTATCTATCACCAAGGCCATATTTTACAAGTACTGATCCTTTCTCTTTGTTTCCAACTTTTTCGTTCCAATCACCAGTAATTATGAATACATCTTGATTGCATGTTTGATTTCAGACTGAAGAAGGTGGTAGAATTCTTCAATTTCATCATCACTGGCTGTAGTAGTTGGTGTATAATAGTGGTATTAACTAGTCTTCCTTGTAGGCATATGGATGTTATCCTTTCACAGACAGCGTTGCACGTGAAGACAGATCTTGATATGTTATTTTTGATGATGAATGCAACACCATTCCTCCCCAATTTGTCATTTCTGGCATAGTAAACCATGTGATTTTCAGATTTAAAATGGCCAGTGCCATTCCATTTCAGCTTACTAGTGTCTAAGATATCAATGTTTATGCTTTGCATTTCATTTTACACAACTTTCAATTTTCCTAGATTCATACTTTATACATTCCATGTTTTAATTTTTAATGGATGTTTTCAGCTGTTTCTCTTCATTCTGATTTGTGCCCCAAGGTCCTGAAGGCTTTACTCCATTCGCGTCACCACAGTCAACTCTACTTTGAGGAGTCAGCTCTTCTCCAGTCGCATTTTAAGTGTCTTCCAGCCTGAGAGTCTCAGCTTCTGGCACTGCGTTTGATAATATTCACTGCTATTCATCATGTTTCAATATTCAATATTTTGGTGCTGACAGTGTTCCACTGTCAATCATACATTTTTCAGTGACTAAATATTCATAAACAGTCTGACTCTTCTTCTGCCTAGTCTGCCTTTGTCTGGAAGCTTAGCTGAAACTTGTCCACCATGGGTGACCCTGCCAGTATTTAAAATATCTGTGGCATAGCTTCCAGAATCACAGAAACACACAAGCCACCACAGTATGACAGCCAGACAAGTCAGTTTGTCTTTGCTGCTCCTCAAATACAGTTGGTACCATCCAGCCTTTGTGCTTTTCTTACCTCTGGTCCATGCTTGCACCTCATGACTCATTACACTAATGCCAGTCTAAGGAAAGGCCCAGCAGCTTCTCACTTCCTTTCATTGCTGTGTTTTGTTCCCCAGTCCTGGGCCTACCTTTGGTTTGTGTAGTTCATGCCAATGCTTGCCTCCATTCATTCTATTGGCTTCAAATACTCTAGGTCAAGAGGGTGGGGGAATCGAGACTCTCCTCCTTTTCCCTATTTGCTCCTCACAGCTGCACAATGCCCAGTGACCCACTGCAAAGTGACCACCGCTTCCTCTGATCTTGTATCACACCAGTTATGGGTTTGTCTTCCCTCACAAGCAATGCCAACAGACTGTGAGCTCAGAATTCAGGGTAACTCAGACCTCACAGGACAATGTGTTCAATTCAGGGCACTAAAGGGGAATGCCATGTTAAGAGGAGATGAAGGATATGCAGTCACAGGAAAGAAAGCAAGGCCACCACAGAAGGATGTCCACTATGTGCCAAGCACTAGGTTTCAAACCAGTACATTCTGGATCTATCCCTTCCTAAGAAGTTGCTTTTCTATCCCAGATATATATTTAACAAAATTCTTATATACATACAGAAATGAACTGATCCTCCCTGTAAGCTAAATCTCCTCCCTCCCTCCTGCCACCCCCACTCCCTTTCTAGGTTCTATCTCCTTTAGGAAACTTTCTCTCTCAGCTCCAACCCACAGGGACAAAATGCCTCTGCTCATCACCCTTGTCTCACTGACTACGGCTATACAAACTCACAAACTGTGTTTCAATGCCAGTGGAAATGGGTCATTTAATTTTACTCTTTTTCATGAAGGTGAGTAACTCAAATGTCATTAAAAGAGATTTGGTTTCAATACCATTATATGGCCTTTCATGTAACTATTCCAAGTCAAAAGAAAAAGAAATTTTTTGGCTTTTCATGAATTCTGTTTTTGGTTAATTAAATATGATACCAATAATTAAGACACTTTTCTGCCCCATAATGATATACAATAAATGGATAACAGCTTTTTATATCATGTTATTCATTTGTTGTTATTGTTATTAAGTGCCTTCGAGTCAGATCCGATTCATAGCGACCCTGTATAGTGTTTCCAAGGAGCGGCTGCTGAGCTTGAACTGCCCACCTTGTGGTTCACACCAGCTTTGCAGTCTAGCGCATTAACCCGCAGCGCCACACCAGGACTCTTGTTATGCATTTAGTCACTATTTATTTGTTGAGCACATACATGATTCTGGCACTGTGATAACAGGGGGATTACAATGGGAAAAAAGACAGATCTGCCACCATATTCCTTATCATCTCCTAGGGCAAATAGTAATGAAATGATTATACAATCAGGAGCTTCAGCTTGTTGAACAACATGATGAACACGATGTCACTGAATTTTGCATGTGAATATTGTGAAAATGGTGTTTGGTTATATATATATATATATATATATATATACACACACACACACACACACACACACAAGGGGTCTTGAAAAAGTTTGTGGAAAAATTCCATTATCTTTTCATTCCATTTTGCATGAACTATCTGAAGTACCCAACAACAACATAATATGTTTACAAAAAAAAAAATTAGTTTGGATGGGAACTTCAAAGAAACACAGGATGCTGTAGAAGTATGAGACAGGGTACCCTCCCTAAGCTGAAGTGGGATTGATTAGTAAGGCAAGGATTTCTGAATCAGACATCTTGGGCACAGAGGCAGGCTTTTACCATCCTTAGCCTTGACCTCATCCTTTAAACACTGGGGAAAATAAGAGAAACAACCACACAAGACTGAAGGTGAGATGAGATGAGACAGTTAGTTGTACAAAGTGTTTGTAGCCTGCCTGGCCCAGCAAGTGCTCAATAAATGGGAGCTCTCCTTTTTATCCCACAAGGGAGTGAGATTTGAGTTGAGAGCTAGAGGGGTAGTAGGAGTTTGCTAGACAGAAAAGGGGGCGGTACAGAGAGTATTCCAGGCTGAGAGAACAGCTTCCCACCAGGCCTAGGACAAAGTCAAACACTTAATAAACAAGACAGGGGAGAAAAAAATGTATATGCTGACTGATGATGAAGTTACCTAAAAAATTCAAACCGATATGTAGCCTCCCTTTCAACTTCTAGGTCCAGCTTACTAGCAAAGAAATCCTCCTTGTCGACAACCAAGAACTCTGTTTCTTCCATACAGACCACAGTGGTCCTCCTTACTGAAGCATGCAGGAGAGCCATTTCCTGTTGGGTGAACAAAAGGCAAGTCAGAGGCCAGCTCCAGTTTCCTGCTCAGCATCTTGCACACTTCTTCCCTGCCTCTATCTCCCCAGAATGCAGGTCTCCATGATGCCCGCTCAGTCCCTCCTTTTGTGGGCACACTGCCTTCCCTCTTTAATATGCTGCTTGTGGAAAAGAGGCAACAGGCCTGAATGCACCAGAGAGGGAGTCAGAGAGGTCTCTCTGTGGAGTCAGTGCATCTCTAAGGGGTTATTGTTGTTATTGTGTGCTGTCAGATCACCTCCAACTCACAGCAACCCCACCTGACAGAGTAGAATTGCCCCAGAGAGTTTCCTAGGCTGTAATCTGTATGGCAGCGGTGCCAAGCCTTATGGAGTCCTGGTGTGACACATGGGCTAATACACTGGACCACAAGGTTGGTCTGAACTGCAACGTTATCAATTCAAATTCACCAGCCACTCCTCCGAAACCCTGTATAGGGTCGCTATGAGTTGGAACCAACTCGACAGCACTTAACAACAACAATTTTTATGGAAACAGATTGTCAGGTCTTTGTCCCGTGGAGCTATCGGGTAGATTTGAATCATCAGCCTTTTTAGTTAGTTGCTAAGCATTTAACCACCGCTCTTTCTAAGGGGTTATACAGGGAACATAGTGCTTAAATATCACAAATGAAGGAGTCAACTTTGAACATCACCTGCTCCAGCTCCATTGGCATTTGATATATGGGCTAGGGAGCTGCCAACCAGGCAGTGAGTTGCAGAGTATAAGGCAGAGCTGGGGCTGGCCAAGAACTTCTCAAATGAGTCCTGTCACACCTCCAACCCCACCCCAAGAAGTTGTGCTAACCCCAAAGGAGCAGCCCTTTTGCATCACTGTTGGATGGGGGTCCAGGAAAGCACTGCTGCCATCCTCGTCCTCGGTTACTGCAACCTTGCCCAGGTAGATGAAATAAAAGCTGTTGCCCTTCTGCCCCCTCTTGATGATCACACGTCTACGACCAAACCTGGAAAAAGATCATAGCTAGTTGATCAGATAGTAACAGAGGCTGTTCCATTCTAGGAGGAGATCTGGAGGGATTGTGCTCTTTGTTCTGGAGTGCCAAAGCACAGACTTAGACTAGAAGGGGACTCAGAAAAGCTCACACCCAGCCCCATCAATCTTGACCTCTTCACTGACACCTATTCAATTGCCTACTGCTGTTAGAATAAAGCTTCCTGAGGGAGAACGTTCGTCAGTTTGCTTCACTGCTCTAAGAAGTCAAGCACATAGTTAATGTCCAATGAATACTTGTAGAATAAATTAATGAATAAATGCTGAAAACAATATATGAGTTAGCAGTTGTTGTTAAGTGCTGTCCAGTCAGTTCTGACTCATAGTAACCCTCGTATAGGGTTTCTAAGGAGCAGCTGGTGAGTTTGAACGACCAACATTGTAGTTAGCAGTCCAGTGCTGATCCTACAGCACCACAGTATGACTCCATGAGTTAGTAAACTAGCCATAATTAAGAATACTGGTTTTAGGGGCCCAGATCCTGGTTCTGTCCTTCGCTGTGTGACACTGGGTAACCCATCCCCTGTCTGAGCCTGTTTCTTTATAAAATACAGATAAGCATATCTAGAAAGTGATGGATAAATGGTCTTATTATGATCTACCCAAGACTGAGGTACCCAAGCCCAGAGCAAACAGAAATTTAATTTTTTGACTCAGAGGGAAGTTTCTGAATTAAAATTGCAAGTTCAAATCTCACATCTTACAATATTCATTTATTTATTTAATTCATTCAATAAAATAAATAAGTACTGTGTCTGTCAACACAGTGATAAAGGACACAGACTTTGTTCTCACAGTTATGGTCAAGTGCAGGATAAAAAGTAAACAGGATTAAAAGAAATGCTTTAATAGAGCCAGACACTTGCTCAAGAGCACAGATAAAGGGCCTTTAACCCAGCTTAGGAAGGCCAAGGTGGTGTCTAAGGTGAGTTTTCCAGGTGGACAAAGAGATGGAGTCTATGTCAGGTGAGGAGCCACCATGCCCAAAGGCACAGATGTGGCCAGAAACCTGGCACATTCCAGGAATAAGAGTTAAGCTTCATTAGAGAGAAAACTGGGGCAGGAAAGAGAGCGATGTAAGGGAGGGAGCTTACGGGGATGGTAGGAAACATTTTGGGTTGGGTCAATCATACAAACAAACAACCAGTGCCATCAAGTCAATTATAACTTACAGTGACCCGATAGGACAGAGAAGAACTGTCCCTTAGGTTTTCCATGAATATAAATCTTTACAGAAGAAGAAAGCCTCGTCTTTCTTCCACAGAGTAGTTGGTGAGCTTGAGCTGCCGACTTTGTTACTAGCAGTCTAGTGCTTATCTAACAGTGTCATTAGGGCTCCTGGGTCAATCATAAAGGGTCTCAAAAACTAAACTAAGTATGAATTTTATCCAGAAGGAGATGGGGAGCCTGAAAGTCTGCCCCTTGTCTCTACCAATATCTGAGGAGTCCGTTACTGTGGGAGAAGCACCTAGCAGTTTCCCAAGCTGCTGCCATCTCCCCGCAACTCTTGAGTTCATGGCAATGCCTCATCAGCTCTTTTCCTTTCCATTCACATTGTCACCTCCCTTTCAATTCCAACTCACTGGCCCAGCTAGGAAGATCCTGCTGGACTGGCCTTCCCTTTGCCTTCACTTATTCAATTAATTCCAAAGCCCAAGGCCCAGCTCAGATCCTACTCTTCCAGGAAATCTTCCCTGATCCAGTTCACAGTAGTATCTCCTCTTCTGAGCATCTAGAGCTCCACGTTGGTCTCATGACCATGCAACAAACTTCTCAGAGGAGAGATCAACAGGCTAGACAGCTCTAGAGAACAACAGACTGAGGACAACAGACTTCAGAATCCCATCTGGCTATGAGCTTGTTCTGGTGTAAACCAGGGGCTAGGATCTTTATCGACACCAAAAACAGAATATAGCTTATATGGCAATGATTAGTTAAAGAAAGAACACTTTGGGGGTGAGGGAGCACAGAGAGAGACTTAGTCAAGTGCAGATTGCAGAGTTGGAGTCATAAAAACTCTCAGCGACCATCTAGCTCAACTTAAATGTTAGAGGTGAGAAAAGTGGGGCCCAAGCCCAAGGTTTGCTAAAGGTCACACAGTGAGTCAGAACCTAAAACCCTGGTAAGAAACTGCCAAGCACCTAGCCACCTTTCTTTACCAATAGCACTCAAGATTTGGGGGAATAACCCTTCCTCACATCTCAAACAAGCAGAGAATCACTGACTATAGTGATGATTCAAGTAAAAATCTGGCTCAGAAAGAAGGAATCCTAGACTTTGATTTGAGTGATTGGGAAGAGATGTTCTATTTTTCCTTAGGACTGAAATTGAAAAGATGAGCTGTAGCTGTGGAAGCCGTCTCACACCATAAGGAGAGAGTCTGGCTGAAAAGGTTGTTGTTTGGTGCCTTCAAGTTGGTTATGACTCTTAGCAACCCTATGCACAACAAAACAAAACATTGCCTGGTCCTATGCCATTCTCATAATTGTTGTTATGTTTGAGCACATTGTTGCTGTCACTGTGTCAGTCCATCTCCTTGGGGTTCTTCCTCTTTTTCACTGACCCTCCACTTTACCACACACGACATCCTTCTCAAGGGACTGGTCTTTCCTGACAACATATCCAATGTATGAGAGATGAAGTCTCACCATTCTTGCTTCCAGGAGCATTCTGTCTGTACTTCTTCCAAGAGAGATTTATTTGTTCTTCTGGTAGTACATAATACGTTCAATATTCTTTACCAACACAATAATTCAGATACATCAATTCTTCTATGGTTGTCTTTATTTATAGTCCAACTGTCACATGCATATGAGGTGATTGAAAAGATCATGGTGTAGGGGTCAGGCAAATCTTAGTCTTCAAAGTGACATCTTTGCTTTACTATTTTAAACAGGTTTTCAATACTTTAAGTGGGTCTTTTGCAGCAGATTTGCATAATGCAATAGGTCATTTGATTTCTTGACTGCTGTTTCTATGAGCATTGATTGTTGATCTTAGCAAAATGAAGTCTTTGACAACTTCAGTGATTTCTCCCTTTATCATAATGTTATTTATTGGTCCAGATGTGAGGATTTTCATTTGCTTTATATTAAGGTGCAATCCACACTGAAGGCTGTAGTCTTTGATCTTCATCAGTAAGTATTTCAAGTCCTCTTTACTTTCAGTAAGCAAGGTTGTATCATCTGTATATCACAAGTTGTTAATGAGTCTCCCTCTAATCCTGATGCCATGTTCTTCTTCATATAATCCAGTTTCCCAGATTATTTGCTCAGCATACAGATTGGATAAATATTGTAAGAGGATATGTCCTTACACACATCTTTCCTGACTTTTAATCCTTCAATAGTCTCTTGTTCTGTACTAAGGACTGTTGGTCTTTGTACAGGTTCCTCATGAGCACAATTAAGTCTTCTTAATTGGAATTCCCATTCTTCACAATGTTCTCCATAGTTTATGATCTACATAGTCGAATGTCTTTGCATAGTAAATATTACTTACTATACTTGTTATTTTCTGTTTTCTGTCAAGATTCATCTGACATCACCAATGATATCCCTCATTCCATGTCCTCTTCTGAACTTGGCTTGAATTTTTGGCATTTCCTATCAATGTACTTTAACTGTTTTTAATTATCTTCAGAAGAAGTTTACTTGTATGTGATACTATTGATATTGTTCAATTATTTCTGCATTCTGTTGTGTCACTTTCTTGGAATGAGCCCAAATATGGATCTCTTCCAATTGGTTGGCCAGGTAGCTGTCTTCCAAACTTCTTGGCACAGATAATTAAGTCCTCCAATACTGCATCAGTTTTTTAAACATTTCAATTTGTATACCATCAATTCCTGGAGCCTTGTTTTTGCCAATGCTTTTAATGTAGCTTTGTTGTTGTCACTGTTAAGTGCCATCAAATCAGTTCTGACTCATACCGACCCTATGAGTATAGGGTTTCCAAGGAGCAGCTGGTGAGCTTGAACCATCAACCTTGCAGTTTAAACTGACCTTGCACCCAGCATATTAACCCACAGTACCACACCAGGACTCTTCATTACCTCTTCATTATCATCAATACTTAATCATTTGCTACCTCTTGAAATGGTTGAACATTGACCAATTATTTTTGGTACAGTAAATATGTGTATTCCTTCCATCATCTATTGATGATTCCTACTATATCATTCAATATTTTATCCACAAAATGCTTCACTACTGCAATCCGAGGCTTGACTCTTTTCTTCAGTTCTTTCAACTTGAGAAATGCTGAGTATGATCTCTTTTGGTTTTCTAACGCCAGGTCTTTGCACATTTCATTATAATACTTTACTGTGTCTTCTGGAGCTTCCCTTTGAAATTTTCTGTTCAGCTCCTTTACTTCATTATTTCTTCCAGTAGTTTTAGTTTATCATCAAGAGTACGTTTCAGTCTCTTCTGGCATCCATTTTGTTTTGTTTTTTATTAATTTTTGCTTTGTTCATATATAATATTCTTCTTTCTTTTTTTAACTGCCATCTTTTATTGGGCACTAATTTTTTTTTTTTTAAAGGTTTTTACTGTGGATTTAGTGAAAGTTTTCAGGTAAGATCATCAGTTTTACATTTAACAAACCATACAAGTTGTTTCATTACGATTATTATAATCCCCTTCATGTATCATCAGTTAACAGTATTTCTCTCTATTCATTTTAGTTCTTCTTTTTTTTTTTTAAAACACTCATGCATATATAATAATTTACATCACCACAGGGCACATTCTGCAAGTCGGCCTCCTAGCTGCCAGCTCTCAGTCCCTCTTTTCCCATGAATCTAGAGTCCTCAGCTGCTCCCTCTCTCCATGATCCCATCTCTGCCTCCATCTCTGGTGTCACTGCTTCTCTAGATAAGATCTCACATTCTACTTGAGCTCTTCTCCCATGATGGTCCTAGGGTCCTTTGTTTCTGGGCTGTAAGATTAACTTCTCCCCCATTTTTTTAAATAAAACTTCTACCTTTATAATTGTGACAGTCGCAATTAGTCATGATAACAAATACTCACTACTGAATCATAAGACTCTTGTCCCCATCTTTTAACCAGACCCATCTAGACAAGATGAAAACTATTCAGTGCGGACTCTTTCTTCCTCCACACACTCTTAAACCAAACTCCCCCTTGAAACCTTGTAAGCCAGTCACTTCATGCCTTTATCGCTTCCTCATTTTAGGTAGCCAATGTCTAAGTTGCCCATCTCTACCCTGTGTACAGAGGGGATAGCATTGATACTTGATGTGACGACTCCTTCCCTCTCAGTTGGTATTTAGAGTTACTACTTCCATGAGTATAAGTCAGGTTCATCAAATTGTAGCAATTTACCCTCATTTCCTTTATCAAAAGTTGTTCTTTTCTTTCCTTTTCTTTTTTAATCTTCCCCTAGTCAAGTTCTGATTATCAAGCCATCAAGGCTAGGTAAAATGGGCATGGGCACTAAATTTCAATGGGAGTCCTGGTTTGGTGCTGTGGGATAACACACTGGACTGCAAGGTCAACTCGAATCACAAGGTCAGCAGTTCAAAATCACCACTTGTTCCTCAGAAACCGTAAACAGGGTTGCTATGTGTCAGAACTGACTCAACAGCACTTAACAACAACAAGTTTTAATGAGGGTGCTACATTTCAATTAGAGGTTAATAAAATTAGAGAGACAATTGTTTTGGGCTTTTTTCTTATTCAAGTTCCCAGACCTCTGCTCTAGCACCTACCTGGATGTAGTATAATCATCTGTGATCCATTCTAGTTTTTAAAGAAAATATGCCCTTAACTTTTGAATTCATCACATGACCTAACAAAATACTGTGGGGAATAGAAGTCAGGGTCCTGGAACAAAATCTGGACTTGAGTCTTAGCTCGGCTACTTATTATCTAGATGATCTTGCACAAGCCATTTTTCTGAGCCTCAGTTTCCTCAAGGAATTGGATCACATCTTCTCCAAGGTTCCCACCAGATCCTCTCCAGATTCAATGAGTTGTTCTAGGAAGCTTCTTAATAAATGAATGAGATAAAATTAACTACAGCCGTAACAATGAACACTAAAGTGAACTGAGAGAAAAACTTTTATGGCTGATACTGCATGGCGGGGCCAGCAGGACCTGGTATTTTAAGTCGGGCTCTTCCTGACCAGACCAGCACCAGTTCAGAGGCCAAGAGGTGGGCCCACACTGACCGTTCAAAGCGTATAACTTTGGCCAGGAGCACCTGCAGGGCCTCACTGTAGCTCCTGAAGATATCCAGAGCCTGCAAGATGTTACACAGGTCTTGGATCTCTTCCTCTTTTCTCCATGCAGGCTTCTTCCGCGTAATCTCAATGGCCCTTGGAGGAAAGTGACCCTGTGAAGATAGAGCCAAAGTGACACACAGGATACAGCGGGTAACTCCCCGCAGTCCTGCTTTCATGCTTTCCCATTCTGTAGGCTAAGCACTAGACTGCTAACCAAAAGGTCAGCAGTTCAAATCACCATCTGCTCCGTGGGAGAAAGATGAAGCTTTCTGTTCCTGCAAAGATTTACAAACCTCAGAAACCCTATGCTGGGTCATAGGAGTCAGAACCGACTTGATGGCATATAACAGTGACAACAACATCCCACATACAGTAGTGCTGGCATATCATATGTGCTGTGTACCAGGCATCAACATGAGCATCTTACATGCACCATCTCACTGTATCCTCACACTGCCCAAGAATGGAAGCACTATGACTATTTCCATGTGGTAGACTAAAAGAAACACAGACAGGATTATAACCTAGGTCTGCCAAGTCCTAGGAAGCCTAGTGAACCAGGACACATAAACTAGCTGACTAATAGATCTACTCATTCACTCACACTCCCTCCCTTCCCCTACTGTGCTCCCATTTCATTTATAACAAAGTCCTAACTCCTTACCACAGCCTATGAAACCTCATGTGGTCTGATTCCTTACTGACCTCCTAGCTCTCCAACCCCATCTCCTATCTGTCCCCTTCATTCTCTTTTCTCTAGCTTTCTTCCTTTTCCTTGTATGTGCCAAGCTTGTTTCTGTCTTGTGGTCATTGCTTAGACTATTTCCCTTGCCTGGAATTTTCTTCCCCTGATTGTGTACCTGGCTGCCTCTTCCTCATCATTCTGGTCTCAGGTCAGATGCTGCTGCCTCCTCAGTGAGCCCTCCAGGATCACTTAAGTAAAAACAGCAGGTCCCCTCCCTAACTCCAACCCCCAGCACTCCTTAGGCCTGTATCATTTTTTTCAAAGCTTAATACTCTCTGAAATCATCTTATCCCTTTTTGTTAATATGTATATTATCTGTCATTTACATACCCTACACATACACACAAACGCCACTGTTCAGTATGGTAGCCACTAGTAACATGTAGCCATTTAAATGAAATGAAATACAAAATTAAGCTTCTCAGTTGCATTGACTATATTTCAAATACCCAATAACTGTGAGTCTAGTGGCTACTATTGCAGATTCTAGAGCATTTCAATTATTGTAGAAAGTTCTATTGAACAGAAGTCTCTAGAATATGAAACCCAATGTAAACATGATAATGTCCCTGTCTATCTTCTTTACCTGTCTAGAATAGGGTGGTGGTGGTGTGCCATGGAGTCGGTTCCAACTCATAGTGACCCTGTATAGGGTTTCTGAGGCTGTAAATCTTCACGGGAGCAAAGAGTCTCATCTTTCTCCTGTGGAACAGCTGGTAGTTTTGAACTGCTGACCCTGTGATTAGCAACCCAACTCATTACTACTACGCTACCAGTTATTTAATAGTGATAGTGTGGCACTCAAAATAAATTATTTGCAGAAGGAATTAAAGAATGCTTATATTCTTGCATAACAGTAATTTTCATGAAACAAAATGGAACTGGGACATCATGAAGCATTATGGACGTCAGGAAAGCAGATGAGAAGTCTCACCTACACAATCTGGCAATACAGCTTAGTGATCAAAAGTGCATTGGGAGGGTCAGCAAAGAAGATATTCAGGCAGCCAACAAACGAATCAAGAAATGGTCACTATCACTAGTCATTGTTGTTGTTGTTAAGTGCCGTAGAGTTGGTTCCAACTCCTAGTGACCCTGTACATGTTTTCCAAGGAGTGTTTGGTAAGCCTGAACCAGCAGTGAACCTGTACCACCTACCTTGTGGTTCAAACTGACCTTACAGTACAATACATAAACCCACAAGACCACACCAGGACTCCACTAGTCAGTGTTGTTGTTGTTAAGAGGTTCTGATCCATAGCGACCCTGATGTATAGGGTTTCTGAGGAGCAACTGGTGAGCTTGAATTACTGACTTTGCAGTCCAGTGCATTAAGCCGCAGTGTCAAACCAGGACTCCCCACTAGTCATTGTTGTTGTTAAGTGCCATCGAGTCTGTTCCGACCCATAGCGACCCTGTATAGGGTTTCTGAGGCTGTATGGGAGCAGAATGCCTCATGTTTCTCCCGTGGAGCGGCTGGTAGTTTCGAACTGCTGGCCTTAAGGTTCGCAGCCCGATTCGTAACCACCATGCTACTAGAGCTCCACTAGTCATTAGAAAGGTGCAAATGAAAACAATGAGCTGTCATCTTACCCCAGCAGTCATAGCAAGGTTCAAAATGACAGGAAAGAACAAATGCTAGAGAAGGCGTGGAGAGTATGGGACCCTCCTATACCGCTGGTGGGACTGTAAAATGGCACAGCTACTGGTATGTATTCTCACGAAATTAGAGCTGCAACAAGAAGAGATAGATACACCCATGCTCACTGCAGCATTGCTCACAATAGCAAAAAGGGGGAGGGAGCCTAGATGCCCATCAGCAGAGGAATGGTTGAACAAACATTAGTACCTACAAGACTGAAGAATAGTGGTGTGGCAGGGGCCATATTAATCAAGGAATTGAGGCATATTAATCAAGGAGTTGAAATAAAGAAATGAGATACGGGGGACCCTGGGCATGAAGAGCTCATTGTTCTAGCAAAGCAACAATGAAGTGTTTTCCTTGGATAGCAAAGCTACAAGGAAAAAACTCTATGCAAAGGCCCTTAATTATTTTTTATCTTTTTCTTGAATCATTCTCCGATTTATTCATGATTTTATTAGTATCCCTTTACTTTAGATTTTATTAGTATCCCTTAAAGTGTAGTATTCCTACACTTTAGTATATTTTTATTAAAAGTTAAAAGCCATATATTAGATACATTTTACTCTACTTGTAATCATGTTGTTGTTGTTATGTGCCATCGAGTCGTTTCCGACCCATAGCGACCCTGTATAGGGTTTCCAAGGATGTAAATCTTTACGGGAGTAGAAAGCCTCATCTTTCTCCCGCGGTGCAGTTGGTAGTTTCGAACCACTGACCTTAAGGTTCGCAGCCCGATTCGTAACCACTACACTACTAGAGCTTTAATACTTATATTAACAATGTTCTTAAGACTGCTGGGAGACAGGATTTGTCATTTGAATTACTACCAGCTTAGGTTTAGTGATTATAAACATTCTTCCTCGTAACCTTAATTTAAGACAATAAAGAATCCTTAAAAGCAATTAGACTATAAATAAAGGCTATGGGGATATACAGATACGTAAATAAAAAGTCTGACTTAGATGTTCTTAAATTAATGATCAGTAAAATAGGGAAGTTGCTTTTCATAGCCTCAGTTTTTTAAATGTTCTGATAAGTGATATTTTTGTAGGCTATAAACAGATAGTGTATGGAAGAAGTTAACGGAGAGTTAATTGCACCCAACAACTAAAATTGATGAGACTCAATAGATAGAGGTTTAAAAACATATGTAAAGGTTAACTTGCTCCTCAAAAAAAAAAAGAATAAAAGTTATTTATGTAGGAACAAATGTTTAGCCAAAAGGTTTCAAGGCTCCAGGATGTCTCATATGCTTTGATGTAATGTTTGTTTGTTGTAACTTCTTGTCCCTGTTGTAAATCTAAGGGTTGTAAACCATGAAGAATGTGCCCCAGAATAAATTGTATTTTGAAGACATTGATTACTATGAAAGCAATGTTTTTTGTAACGGTAAATAAGGGGGTTGTAAGATAGAATAAGAAAGTAGAGTAAAAGGAGAATAAAGAGTAAAGAATGAAGGGAGAGTAGAAGGGGAGTAAAGGAGGAGGAGGAGAGTAAAGGATGGAAGTAGAGTAAAGAATGAGCAGGAGAGTAGAGAATGAGCAGGAGAGTAAAGAATGAACAGGAGAGTAAAGAGGAGAGGAGAATAAAGCATGAGAGGAGAATAAATTATGTAAGAAGATTTTGAATTCATCACGACCTATTGACTCTGTGTGATTCTTTCCCGCTGACGCCACACACCCCTTCAGAACCACTGAATAAGTTTGCTGGGGCTGGCCCCTGGCAGTGGTGAATCTGCAAAATACCACATAACATGGAGGAGACTGGAAGACATTATTATGAATGAAATTAGTCTGTGACCACTGCTGTTAAAAAGTCAGGAAAAAGTTCTCATTTTATAATAAACTTTCTATGGTGTTTCCCGGGGGTGGGAGGGAAGGATACCTTTAAAAAAAAAAAGGGGGGGGTGAGACAGAGGAAAGAAAAGCACCTGGACTCTGGTGCCTCAGTCCTGCTACTTCCTAGCCATGAGTCCTGGGCAAGTAAGTACCTTCTGCTGAGTCTCTGTTTCCCTATCTGGTAACAGCAGATCTGATCTACAGAAATACTGCTGGGTATCAAGTGGATTCTGACTCTTAGAGACCCCATGAGACAGAGTAGAACTGCCCCCATAGGGTTTTCTTGGCTGTACTCTTCATGGAAGCAGATCTCTAGGTCTTTCTCCTTCAGTGTGACTGGGTTAGTTTGAATCACTAACCTTTCAGCTAACTGTTAAACCACCAGGGTTGCTGACATGTGTAAAGAACTTAAACAGTGCATGAAGCAAGTGCTAGGGAAATGTTAGTCATTTTTATAGTCTGAGTTAGGTTCAATCTTTACTTTCTGGTGTGGTGCTGGAGGATAGTGTGCTGGATGGACTTCAAGGTCAATTTGAACCACAAGGTCAGCGGTTCAAACCCACCAGCTGCTCCTCAGAAACCCTATACAGGGTCACTGAGGGTCAGAACCAACTCAATAATGTTTAACAATAACAACTGCTATCAATAACTCAGTGGGTTTCAGTCAGGGCATTCACATGACAAAGCACAAATGCCTGTGGTCTTTATAAGCCAAAGTGATCCTTAGATTCCATCTGGAGTCCTAATTTCTATAGGAAATTATATTCTCTGGATTTCTATTGCAGGGAATCTGTTATTTCCCATTCTGGAGAAGTCGCCTGATATCCCAGTTAGCTCACTAAGGGCAGGGTGTGGATATTTTACACCCTTTTATTCTCCACA